CAAATTTGATTTGAATCCTATAGGCATATTTTCTAAACATAGTGCAAGTCTTGTTGACAGGATCCATATTATAATTAGTCAGGCCCTAAATCATGTTCTCTAGGTGAATATCCGGGCTTGATGGCCTATAAGAATGACGTCTATGCATAAAAAGTCGACAGGAATAGAGCATGGCAAAACAAGATAACAAATAAAATATTTGGACCCTATAGGCATGTTTTCTACCAATTCATGCAATAATTAAAGTACCCCAACCCCCTTTTACGAACTTCCAAAGCTTCAAAAAATGCCCAAGAGATGAAAGAAAATGAGCTAAATGGTCTAAGTCCCGCATTTAATAAGGTTGTGCACAGGTCTTCGGTGTCGCATTTGTGACACCTGGCTCGCAAATGCGAAGGTCAAAAATGCAATACAATCATCGCAAAGCGAACCTGGGCTCCCAAATGCGACCAAGGACTCGCAAATGCAAACCCTGTCAAGGTTGAAAATGCGACTGGAAATCTCGCAAATGCGAGCTATGCCCTGACCAGGCTTCTTCGCAATTGCGAAGACTTTCTCACAAATGTGAGGTTCACAGATGCGAACCATTTCTCGCATTTGCGATGCCTGCAACACCCTCCAAGAAACACCAGAAAACTGAAGCTTTTTCTCATCCTTCCGAACGTCCAAAACTCACCTGAGCCCTCGGGGCTCCACAACAAGCACCTACATAAGTCTAACAACAACATACAAACTCGCTCGTGCAATCGAAACACCGAAATAACATCAAAAACCACGAATCGGATGCCAAAACATATGGATTAACTCATGAACTCAAAAAATTCTAAAAATACTTCCGCGCGTCCGATTCCTATCAAATCAACTCAGAATGATGCCACCAAATTTTGCGTGCAAGTCTTAAATGACATTATAGAACTATTCCCGGTCTCGAAATTTCATTTGGACCTCGATATCACCAAAACCTACTCCAAACCAAATTTAAAGAACTCAAAAAACCTTCAAAGAACCAACTTTCACTATAAGGCGCTGAAACACTCCCGGGTCATCCAAAATCCGATCCGAGCATACGCCCAAGTGCGAAATCATATACAAACTTATTGGAACCATTAAATACTAATTTCGAGTTTGTTTACTCAAAACGTTGACCGACATCAAACTTAGCCTTTTAAGGCCAACTTAGGGAACCAAGTGTTCCAATTTCAATCCAAACTCTTTCAAATCCCGAGCTAGCCATCCCTGCAAGTCAAAAAATAGTAGAAGCACATATGGGGAGTCTTATTTAGGGGAACTGAGTTCTAAAAATAAAAACGACCGATCGGGTCCTTACATGTGTGATATAAAAAGTCAGTGCAACACTCTTTCTCTTTCATTTTTAGAAGGTATCACCAATGTTAGTTCTCCCAAGTGCTCTCAACACTCCCTTTAGACTTTCCAAACAATTTAAGGCAAAGTTGAAAGCGACCCTGAATCTAGCAAGATCTAGCATGAAGGAGTTAGGAATCATCACTGTAATATTTATTATTTTGCTATATCAATTCAGGAAAATTCGTGGGAGGCGGGGTTAATCGTCCTAGAAGTGTAGCTAGTTCTTCAACAAGGCATATAAGGAAACTTTCTTTCTTGGCATGAGTTCTTGTAAGTCTCTTTCTCTCTAAAGGATTTTTGTATTGTAAAAATTTGGTTGTTCTGAGTCCTTCTCAATGATGGTGTTCTCTTTTTGTACATATTTGTCGGTGGCATTTATTTCGAAGTCTATAATGTTTCAAGTTGGTATTTTGTGGTCAGGAAAGATGATTCATTCTGAGTTTGAACTTGTTGTCCCTTTAAAACGCTACTACAATGTACTTATATATATGCATCTATTTTACGTTATCGAGTCGCTCTATAGACGGCCGAGTACGGCACCTACTGTGCAACCATGGATCACTTGGGCATGATGAGACATGATATGAGATATTATTTAGTCCTTGTGTGGCCAGTTATGATGATGTTTGGTGTGAGGTTAATGAGTCCTCTTTAGGCCGGTTACGCCTAGTTCTACTGAGCCCGGGTATAATCGAGACCTTCTGAGGTCGGGTACGACCGAGTCCTCTACGAGGCCAGGTATAAAGTGATGTGTGATGTGAGGTTACCGAGTCCCTATTTGTGGGGTATGATCGAATCCTCTATGAGGACGGGTATAAAGTAATGAAATGTGCCCCAAAAATTGGCTAAAAATTTGTATACTTATATGTATGATAATTAATGCATGGCCCCAATGAGTGGCTCGGTTTTACAAAAGTTTGCTTACATTCATGATTCATGATTTGTAGTTCCCACCGACTATGCACCTAGTGGCTTTTCTTGGGTATTCAAGTTAAGATCACACACTTATTTCTCTTATGTTGATTTACATGATTTCTTAGTCTTACATACATGGTACATTATCCGTACTGACGTCTTTTTCTTTTGCGAGTTGTGTTCATTCCCACGGGTATACATAGACCCGGTGATGTCCCTCCCAGTAGGGTATTGTTCCACCTAAGCGGTCGTTGCACTCCATTCCTTCGAAGTAGATATTTGAAGTCAATAGGTACTGAAGCTCATGGCTTAATGTTTTGGGTATGGTGGGGCCCGATCCGACCAAGTTATGCATATGCATATCTCCTTTTGGTACTCTTATAGGCTTGCAGGCTAGAGTTTGGTTGCATGTAAAAGGGTGGATCGTGACTTGTTTCAGTTGTGAATATGTATAAAATACTACGGTGGCTTTTGCAAGTCAGTAGTTCTCATTTTAATTTTGGTGATTGTTACTCGGAGGCCTTGTTGGCCTAGGTCTTATGAATAAAAAGATGTAAGAACAGACGTAGGTTCGCATGGGCATTCGGGCATTGTGTGCCGGTGGCACCTCCCAAGGTTGGGGTGTGATGGTAAATTTGTCAGTTTTACCATTGTTGCAAATCTATTACCGTATTGTACAACATAGAATTACTCAAGAGTCTTAATTGAGTTCGTGTATTATTTAGCAGGTTCTAAAATAATTCTTGCATATAATAAAAATATATAAATGGAGGGTTAAATGAGGTAGGACAAGGTAGGGAGAAACGGGACAAGGTAAGGCATAATCTAAATGGGGCAAAGAGCTAAACGGGACAGGGTGGAGCATGATTTAAATGGGGGTAAAAAGTTAAACGGGACAGAACATGGCAAAATTTTAGTAGGGGAAGACTTAACTCGCCCCTCCCCGACCTACTCTCCCTATTGCCATCCCTAGAAATCATTACCCAATAGCATTTTCCAACTAATATTGAGTCTAACCCGGTTAATCATTCCTAACTTAACCAAGTGACATTAAGTGCCTTCCAATTTTAGGCTACGAGCATAAAGGATTATTCCTCACCTCAATCGCTAGGCTAGGATTAATTAATTTTTCAACTAACTTGGAATCTTGTAAAATAAAACTACTACATTACTTCACTAAGGGATTAAAGCAAACACGCAAAATGCAAAAATAGCTAGATATTATGTAAGAAATATGAGAAAGGAACTAGGATTGTTCCCGTTTGGTGAAGGCTATGCATTAGGTAAATGGGTATTCAATTCTAAATTTCTAAAATTAAGCATATTTTATAGCCTTGATTTCTATTCTACCAACTTAGTGTCTTACAATACTTAGAGGTTTTCACCCAGAAGATGGCATTCCAAGCCAAGGGTTCAATGATATGCAATTGATTAGTCCAAGTAGAAATCATATGACTCCTAGTTAGATTTATTAATCAAATGATTAACCCACTCATTTCCTTGTTAATTTCTTTGTACCTAAACTAAATTCTACTCTTCCAAGTTAGAACTAACAAAATAGGCATGGGTTTAGTGGTTTTGCCCAGTTTTGCATTTCTGGCCAGTTTTAATCCGGGATTACAGAATTGGCAATTTAGGCCACTTTAAAATATGGCTAGAATGTTCTCATTTCCCTCAATTTTGACTTATTTCCAATTGTTTCTTCCCAGTATCTTCCCGAACACATAAAACCTGTAAAATGCAATAAAATCATTATAAGTGCGCTATATTTCTCAATAATCTGATAAAAAAAGTCTAAGTATAAAAGAAGAGATAAGTTGATGAAACACCCAGTGGCGGCTCTATGGAGTACGATGCCTAAAGTTGAATCGTTATCGGAGACCTTTGGAGGCAAAAACGTTAATTATATTTTATAGTCGAATTTCTTCTAATATTTTCTTCCTAATTGATAATGTAGTTAATTTGTTTAATTATTCTTAAGATATTATTGATAGATAAACTTTTATTAATTTCACTTTCGAAAAACATTCTTCCTTTGGGGAAAATGTCTTCATCTTTTTATGAGCTAGCATTATTACATAGGCGTGTGAATAAGAATCAAATCCTTTTATTTCATTGAGTATATCAATTAAAGTATTATACTTGTACAATTTTTCGTAGTGCTTTTGTTGCAAAATAAGTCTAAAAATCAATATGGAGCTAATTAGCTCAAAGTATGTATAAATGCAATTGTAAGTGAAAATTTAATCCAAGTTGAAAAGGATAAGAGTAATGAAGTAGGAAGTCATTTAAGTTCATCCCATTCATCTGTTATAGCTCAACCAAGTTCTCCCAAAAAAAATAGCATAATGTCTAGAACTATGCCGTCAACGATTATTGATATAGCAAATGGTTGAGCAAAGGATTTACTTATCATTATAAATAATTATAGTGAATTGTTTAAAATATACTTATTATATATGTAAATATGAGTAATATTTAGGGCCCTATATTTTTTTGAGGCCTAAAGCCTTGGCTGTCTTGGGGTTGAGCCGCCCCCGGAAACACCAACTTATCACATATCGCAAACAATAGTACTAAAGCTAAAGTTTATTTTATAGATATAATTAGATCGCATGAACCTTTTGACTCTAAATTTTGATTTCGCTTATGCTCATAATAAAGCCATTAATCTCAGAATCCAATTTGCAAAACTCTTGACACAAACTATATTAATAGTTTTATCTAAACTTGTCAGCATCCTCACTTGAAGCAAATGCATCAAGCCCATTACCAGAAAGCCTAAAACGCTTAACATCTGCCATAATATAAGCCCCCATCCCAAGATAGAAATCAATGGCGTCAACGTTCCACCCAACTGTAAGCCAATCAACTGTGGAGAACCCCATTTTAGCCGCCTGCGAGGCCACAGCAGAAAATAGTATTTTTCCAAATCCATATTTTCGATAACACTCCCTAACATACATGTTTTCAATAAAGAAACCAGGTTTCTCAAAGTAACCTGAATAGCTAGGAAAAAATAGGATATAGCCAGCTATGAAAATATCATCTTCATTGGTTCTAAACAGTTCTGATTCTGGGTCTACTATAGGTGAGTCAAGATTAATGGTTTTCTGAATTGGGTCGAAAATGGAATGTTTAGTGGTTTTTTTTAGGAAAATTGTTGGGTGAGACTTCAAGAATGAATGCGGTCACTGAGTAGAAAGGCGGGCAAGGATTAGATTTGAAAAGATTCGTAGAGATGGAAGCCTCAGTGGCGTTAAAGACCTTAGCATAGTTATGATATTTTGCCATTTGATACATGAGTTTGTGGAGATGTGGCACGTCTGATTCTGTGGCGAGGCGAACTCTACCGGAGATTTGAGTGCTGAAACTGATTTTCTCGGCCATTGTTAGTATGGTAAGATGGTGTTCAATTTCTCGGGACCGTTTTTTCTAATGAAAAAGTGAAGGTTTTTATAGTGAAATTTTCGTCAAACTGGAAAGGTTGGAACGGAATTAATCGTTCAATTAAATCGATATTTCCATATATATCACATCAAGAGTAGCTTTCATTATCTTGAAAAGCTCGCCAGCTCTAGCTATTTCAACAACTTTTCAATCTCTTTGGAAAGCAGCTTTGAGTAGACACTGAACATGTGCGTCTTCTGTGCTGCAAAAAAAAAAAAAACCTAGCCAACTTTTATCATGCCGAGTAGTCCCTTCAGTCAATTTACAATTTATGTAGCGTACGTTTCTTATAAGGGCGAATCTAAAAATTTACTCTACGATAATCAAACTTGAAAGAAAATATAAAACAAATCCCCAACAAAGATATTTAATTATATATTATTTACCTTTAAAAACTAATATTTTACTTATATACGTAGTATAATTTTCCGACGAATTGATTACCCTTGTCAGAGTATAGCTTCGTCCCTGCTTGTTAGTTCGTTTCAAGAATGACACACTTTTATATTTGAAAATAATTAATTGAGGCTATTTGTTTAACTTTTAATGTGAAGGGTATATTGTACAATATTACGGTATATTTATGACCACACGTTTTAAATGTTTTATAGACACACACATATGCAGAACTAGAAGCTGGATTATGGATTCGTTCAAACCCATTAGCTTTTGTTCAAATAGTGTATTTTTATTATAAAATTCATTAAATGTGTAAACATATTAATTTAAAACTGATCAGTTGACACTTACAATCATCGTTTTAAAATCTAAAAATATTATGATGTATTTTGTTTAACCAAAAAATAGAATTTCAGTCAAAGCTAGAATTTAGAAGAGCGCGGGTTACTGATAATCAAAAGAATATGTAGAAGAAAGTAATTTGGAGTAGCCAGAGTGTAATCAGGAGAAAAACAAGTGAATCAAAGTATATTCCAATTGTGTCTTGTGTTTACAAGTGACCAGATACCCCCCTTTTATAGGTATCTTGAAGATATGCGTTTTCTCCAAATCATAATGAGACTATTATGAATAATTAAAGACATTGAATGCTACGTTACACAATTATTGTAATCAATACAAATTCTCTAACGTATCCAGTATTTAATGCATGTCGAATTTCATATCTGCGCTCTTCATTATGGTCAGATCCATTCCTTTTGATAAATGACTTAAATAGGTACGGGCGCTGAATCATTCAAATGTCCTCCCGTACCTCTTCCTTTGCCTTTGCTCGTTTCTATTGCTGCCCGTGCCTCTTGACTAATTATAACTCTTTGACTATTTGACCAGTCCACGTGTCTCAACATGTCACTTACATATATAAATGCAATTTTTCCCAATACAGTTCATTAAAATGAGAATTTTTGCCATCATTAATGCTATGACAAAATTGACGCTTCAATTGTCACTTCCATTTAATATTTCGTACACGTATTAATTTTCCATTGGCTCTGCAGTTTTTGCTGCCTTTTTCAAGGTTTTTACGGTTCCACTATTAATGAAGTGCCAGTTATCATAATTATGGTCTTTCCACCTCCGCACTTTTACCTTTGGCGGTTGCTTATCAGTATAAATATAATTTTTTCCCTTGTCTTTTATCACATAAAGCTTATTGAACACTTATTTCTCCAAATCTCTGTTTACTTCTTTCTTAAATCATTCTTCTTTGATATGTCTTCTTCAAGCCCTAACCCTGAGAGAGTTTCCATTACTGACTCCTTCCCCAATGCCCCTGTTAGGCACAGAAGGGGAGGTAGACTTCGTAGTTTAGGATCTACTCGAGGTGGTTCGTCTATGCCTTCTTCTAGTTCTGGTCCTTCCTCTAGAACCAGAGGTTCCCTTTCTCACAAATCTTCTTCTAGGGGTAAAGATCATTCTGAACCTTTACGCGAACCTTTAGTAGATGAGATAGTCCCTTCAGAATTGTCTTTTTACCATGACAGGGAATCTCTTAGAAACCAGGTTTCCGCATTAGATCGTGTCGATGCTTACCCCACTCAAATTACAAAGGTTTTGACTCCTGTGGTTCGTAAGGACTGTCATTGGAGTAATGATTTTCCCATTATTATCCCTAATCCGAATCAGAGAATTACTTCCTATTTAACTGGGTTCTCTTTTGTTTACACTTACCCTTTTACTTTAGGGTTTAGACCAGCAATCGACCCAGTCATTCTTGAATTTTGCCGTTTCTTCAATGTCTGCTTGGGTCAAATTGGCCCAATCATATGGAGGGTTGTTGCCTATTTAAGGCATTTAGCCACTAAAGCTGAAGCTCCTTTTACTTTCCCTCACTTGATTCATCTTTACTCACCTAAGCTTTTTCGTAATGGTGTTTTTACACTAGTAGCTAGGAGTAAGGGGGTTTTGGTGAGCCCTAAAGATGACAAGGATCGTGACTGGTATGCCCGATTTGTTGCTGCCCCCACTGTTGGTTTAGTGGGTGAAGATAATATTCCATTCCCTGAGAAGTGGAATTTTGCACGTAGGTCTTTTATCCCTCTCGTACCTTCTTCTTTCAAGTTTATCATCTTTTCTAATTTTAACCCCCCCCCCTTTTAGCAACCATGGGAGTTGTGGGGGATATTTTCAATTTCCGTGGTTGGGTAGATAAATTGCTGAAGATCGCGCCAATGGATAGTAGATCTTGGAAAACACTTTCTAACCGCTTTGGTTGGAAGGTAAAGACTCATGGTAAGAGTTCACATTTCGTTCTTTTTGTGCCTATATTCTCCTTTATTATTTTAACTTTTATCCTTCTTTTTGTCAGGATTTGCTATTCGAGGGGTTACTACTAAAGCAGTTGCAGCCTCTCGTGTCTCTTTGGGAACTCGTATTCCTTCAAGAACCCATATCTCTTTAGAGAGAACCCGAGAAATAGTCTTGGGTTCCTCTTCTGCGAAAAGGAAGGCTGCTGAAGAGGAAAATTCTGAAGAAGAGGAAAATGAGAGTTCTTGGTAACGAGGCCACGAGTTAGGAGACGCATCGTTTCTGATGACGAAGCTGAAGTTTCGGTTTCTCTTACCGAACCTGTTGAAACCCCAATAATAATTCCTGATTATGACGTCACTCCCCATGATACTAGTGAATCTATTGACCAACTTTTCGTCAGTGGATTTGGTCGTGAAGATGTCGGCCTGTTTTAGACGAAGTACCTTTATCGTCTTTTTCATTACCCGTGCCTGTGATTCCTTCTTTACCGGCCCCAGCTATTTTCGTTCCTTCTTCTACTGCTCTTACCTCTTCTCCCGCTCCTCCTTTGACTATTCCCCCTCCTATCGTTCATTATACTGAAACGGGCTCTTCAAGTAGAAGTGCCGCTGTGAGGTGGGTAATTATTGAAATTCCTACTGAGAGCAACCTTTTGATAAAGTCAGGTCAGGCGGATGTATGGTTGGAGCCTCTTATTGTCCTAATTGAAAAAGCAAAGCTGGAGAGCCGCAGTTCCCTGACTTTAATGAATGATATCGTGCATGCCACTCTGAAGGTATTTTCCTTCTCTCCCTTTTTAACTTTGCAAAATTTTTCATCTTTGGGATTCTTATTTCTTCTTTTTTTTAGGCCAATCTTATCGGCACAGAATTGATGAAAAGAATTGCCCCTTTGGAGAAGATAACACGCGACTCTCAATTGGAAGCAACCAATTGGAAGAGGAAATTTGAGAGTGCTCACCTTGATATAGAGAACTTACAAGAGAGCAAGAATACCTTAGAGCAGCGAGTACGGGCTTTCACTTCAGAATTGGCGGTTACAAAAGCATCTTCACACCAAGCAGAAAAAAAGAGCGTCTCGAGTCCTTCTTCTCAGAGCAGCTATCTAAAACTAGTGAAGAGATCAGAGAATTAAAGGCTCTTTTAAACCAAAAGGAAGTTTACGCTGGGGAACTTGTGCAAAATTTGACTCAAGCACAAAAAGACCTCAAAATATCTGCTGATAAGGTGCGTGCTTTAGAATGCTCCCACGCCTCTCTTCAAGCTTCCCCACAGCTCTGCCTTGGCTGAAAATGAAGAGCTAAAAAATGAGATCGCTGCTTGGGAAAAGG